TTGAGATGATCAATCAAAGGGTTTTTCAACATTAAAACTACCTTTTCTGATGGATTTTTGAGGGGCATCCGTAGTTCTACATTATAAGGTAGCATCCTCATATAAACTTTTTCCTTTTCGAAATCATAGAAATTTTCGAGTGCCATTCCTGGGTTTGTCAACACGCAAAAAGTTTAATAAAATCAAAATAAAGAAATTAGTGTTGCCTGTAAAAATGACAATTAAAAAATACTCATATCGATGTTTGGCAAAAGAAAAATTGTTCTAAGGAATCTTTTTTCACTACACTGGTGCACAGAAATCGCAGTTATTGTATTAATTTTTATGAAAATATACAATAAGTGAGAACTATCTGATGCAATTGAAATCAGCCTAATATCAGCCATTGTCTTCAATAAAAATCTTCGCCATCTTCTAAACTGAAAAACTGACACCGTGTCCTCGTCAACTCAGTGTGCTCTAAAAAATAATAAAAAGTACTCCTGGTTTCTTATGCTGAACACAACATTTTTATCCTATTTATGCATCTCTACTTATTAACAGTGAGCAAATCTCCCCCCATTCTTGCCAAGCTTATAAACCATGCCATCCCTTTTGTATCCATAGTAGGCATTTAGCAAACACTTGTATTGGATCACCTCTCTCTCTCTCACACAAAGATCGGAAACAGGGAATTATACCACTATAACCAATAGAAAAATGCTCATTACGGTTTTCATGCATTACATTGCATTTTACCTTTGAAGTATCCTTCAATACATCTCAAATTTGAATGTAGAAACTAAGGTGGGAAGGCCAAATTGAGAGGGCCCTCACACATTCTTCAACAGGAGTAAAGCTCCACCAGTTCTTCCATAGATTCAGAATTCAAGCTGGGGTCTGCATTCTCTAACATCCACAAGAGATGATCAAATATAACAACCTCACAAGGGATAGAGATGTCACCAACATTGCTCTTTGACCTCTCAATCAAGGCATTGAGAAGAGGATGGCTCAGATGCTTCGATCTTATCATGTATCGCCTCCGAGAATTGCCCACGAGCACAGCCTCGCGATCCTCACTGTCCGTTGTCTCCTCCGAGATCTCGTTTCTGACAGACTTGGACCTAAGGCTGCTATAAGAGGAAGACCTCCCTAGTTTGGATAAGCTCTTGCATTTCCTCAAAATTAGGCTTATCTTCTTCATCCTTAACCATTCAAGAAGGCAATGGAGCCTTAGTGTAGGGGCCTATGGCTCTGATAGAGAAGGGAGGCCATGGGCAAAAAATCTAGCTTACAAGTCACAACAAGCCCTGATACAACTTAAATATTTATGGTGGTGGGTGACCTATCACAATTTGGGCTAGTCTTTTAGAGGGGGGACCACCTTATAACCAAACAAGAAGATTCAATAATCACATTTACCTAACAAAATTTGCAGTCCTCATAGATCTCTCTATACCTAAATCAAGTTGATGCATGCCTTGGTCCTATAGTGCACATGTTTTATGGTTTCATCCATGTAGATAGGTCACCTATACTTTCATTAAAAGAGCCAAGCAACAGGACCTTTAGATTGGGCCTGGATCCCATGCCTTACTAGGCTAAGTTATGCGACAAATTAGCCATCTGTTGAGGCTTGTCACCCAGTGAATCCCCTCCACATGTGTCCCCAAGGGTTTTTGAGAACCCCGATGTTGAATTATAGACCACCCATGTAGTATTGTCTACCCTTTTCAAAGCCTTTCCCCATCCCTCTATGGCCATATTCTATGTACAAACGTGTATTCCCTGTTCATGAACATTGGTTTGCCTGTCTTTTGTGTGTTTTTCTGTTGCCAAAAGATTATATACTCCTGAGGGAGCATATCCGAGATTCAGTTCCTTTGGTAATACCCTATTTACATGTATTTTTAAGACCTCAAATTTTGGGGATGGAGCTTTTTCAACTTAGTGAACAACCTCAAAAAAAAAAGAAATAAAAGAAAGAAAAAAAAAGAAAAAGAAATAAAAGATAAAGAATCATTCCCATATATGTGCAAGAAAAGAAAGGGTTAGGTTTGTATAAGTTGCCTTCCTTATCCTGTAGAACAAGGAGCATCTCTAAAATTTTTTAGGAGATATAGTTTTGGTGTCGGAAATCTTATGATGGCTTGAAAACGTATTCTATCCCTAATTATGGAATTTAAAATTTCAAAAATGGTACAGATCGGATAGATCTATAAATATAATATGTATTATTTTTCGAACTTGAAGTTCTTTTCTTTTTCTTCACGTCCAAACGTCTAGAGGTCGAGATGATCAATTAGAGGGTTCTCCAATGTCACAACAGTTTTTTCTAGGATTTTGAGGTGCATCTTACGTCAGCACTACAAGGTTGCAACCTTATATAAACTTTTCCAAAATGAAAAGGTCCTAAAAATAGACAATTAATTCGGTTGGATCTAAGTACTTGGGAAGTTAAAATACAATTTTCTCATTCTAAGCTCATCTGGTAATTGTAAAATGAATTTGAAAATTTCATACCGAGAAAAGCCGCCTAAGGAGGTTTTTAGCCTGATGGAGTTGATGTACACTGTGCTCCCACGGAAGCATGCTACAAGAGCTCCCACCGTGGTTTGATTTATGCTTTATTGGTCGGCTTGTTTTTGTATAAGTTCCTTTTATAAGTCAAAATCAATTTTATCAGTTTATCTTGTCCTTGCCTGAAGGTTCAAGCCTTTGGCTTCAAGTCCCAAATCCAATCTACAATATATCAAGAGATTTTAAAACAATACTCAATCATCGTAATCATTATCATCATCATTATTCAAGTCGTATCGCATTTATTTTAAAAAATACTCAATATATATTTAAAATTGTAAAGGTAACCACGAAATATACAAAATTTTGGAGCCTTCATGTGAAAATTACACGAGATCAGCTCCACCCCTAGGGATGAGAACTTACCTAGATTGGATTCGAAACTCGAATTTTGGACTCTATCGAGATCCGGGTATGGATCTGACGAGTCGGATCTGGATCTAATGTTTGGATCTAAATAGTAATTTGGATCGGATCCGGGTACAAGTAAATCCGATCATGATTTGACCTAGTTATTAAAATATTATATATTATTTTGTATAGGACGCGGTTAGCATGTGGCCAATGCGCATATGGTAGAAATGCGAGCTTGGAAGTAAATATATTTTTTAAATATAATTTGATCTTAATTTTTAGAAAATATATAATCTTTAACATGGAGATCATGAATATGAAAAAAAAAAAATGAAAACTGAAAATAATAATTATATTAAAAAAACATTTGGACCATTAGTTACAACTATTTTTAGATGGACCGCCTATTTGCATCAATCTTTAAGATGGATGCTTTATCCTTCTAGACTGCATATCGTAGAAATGCGGCCCAACCAGTACGAAACAATTGTTCTTTTGTATATATACATATATCTTATATAGTATTTTTGTTATATTCTTTTATAGATATAACATAATATATAAAAACAATTTTTTGGATCCGATAGGGTCCGGGTCCGGATCCTATGTATACTTGTTTTATTCGAATCCGGATCCCAATGGATCAGGACCCGATCCGACCCATTAACATCCCTACTTAGCCTGTGACTTTTTTTTTTTTCCCTTCAGAATTACCTTCATGTCTGATATCTCCAACTCCGAACAAGTGGAAAATCCCTCAAATTTCAGCCATTTCTATTAGTTAGGGCCCGTCCAATATTTGCAACACCGAAAACCTTATTGTTCAATGTTTTTAAATTAAATATATAAACTTATATAATAGAAATTCTTATTCTTATAC